GCACTCCTTTTTGATTTCGCATATCAAGCATATCTCGGATTTCATAACCTTTGAAGTTAAATATAGATTTCCCCTCCTTTAGGTAAATAACTAAATATTAATGTTTACATTTATGATTTTATTAAACTTTTTTAAATCTGCTTCGACATAGGCCAGTTAGGTTCTAACTTGCCACGTCTCTTCTGTACAATTGCCTCACGCGTATGACTCGACAAATTAGCATAATATCGGTCGATCATTGTAGCTCCCTTTGGCAAGTAATCAATTAATAATATTCCCTCGCTATCCCAGACAGCATCGACTGCTCTTAAAATTTAAGATCATATTGACGAATCCAAGTTCCATCAAATGCTACAAGGTGGGCAAATTTCTTCGAATTCATCTTGGGAGAACTCCGAAAAATCTTTAAAACTCTGCAATCGTCACTGCTTGTCGAGCGGTGTAAGCATTCGCGTTGAAACAGGAGCAGAGCCCTGAAGAACCGATGACATCTCTGTAAAAATTTCTTGCGGCGTACGTCCTTTTTTACAAGGTATTTAATCACAGCGCGGTGCTCCAATTTGCGGTTTCCGTTGACATAGTGTTGCTGCTTGTTCCAGGAACGAAATGTTAATGAACCTAATAACGAGTCCCGCAACTAGTATTATCAATAACGAGAAAGTCAACCGACTCCCGTATGTACAGGAACTCTTTACATACGTACGTACGTCGTTGAACCTCTACCAGGGAAAAATTAATAAAAATAAATGAAAATTTTATTTCAAATAAAAAAAGGAAAATGGAGAACATGATGAAAATAATAAAAGTTTTTTTTTGTAAAATCAAAATAGTAAGGAAATTTTACAGCAAATGAGGATGTCGGAAAAAACAAAATTGAGAATTGAGGACAACCGAAAGTAAGTGCTTTAATTATTAAGTAAAAGTGAAAAAAATTATAAAAAGTAAAATAAATTTTAGTAAAACTAAAAAGCAAACTAACTAAAAAATAGCAAGCGCTGAATAAATATTGATAGCTTAAAAAGACACATTTGTCTTTTCCAAATAAGGCCTGTAGCTTTCAGCGATTCTTCGATCAGAAGATCTTTTCTATGCTTTCTATTGCGGCATAACATGTCTGTCATATTCGCGAAAGTGGATGTTTGATCTTTTCTTTTCAGTGTGATGTCTGCAGTGTATATAATGTACAATATATGTACATGAACGCTACCCTGAAGAACAAATCCCGATTGTTTTATGGTACACCGCCTGTTAGATAGATGTTATTCTGACATTTTGTTGAATTGGTTAAGCTGAGTGTTAAATTTCTATTTAGTTCATGTAATCTATTATTATTTTATTACTTTCAAGGGTTTATTTACCACAGTTGGAACTATCCGATATATGTCAAATATGCACCATTTTGTTCGATAACTTTTTGCCATTTTGAAAGTAATGTCATTATGTCTCTCATAGAAAAGAAAAAAATGGGAAAATCGATTTTCACAGAAGACATTTTCCTAGTCAAGTATTGTAAAGAATATTGATCTCTATACCTTTTGGCGTTTACAGATTAGTAGTGTACACAAAGTCAATAACTGTCACCCCTATCCTTTGTCAACACTACCTGTTTTGCATAGCCGGATTGGCTTTCCCTGATTTTGCCATTATTAAGCCACCTTTTGACATGTTTGCCAATTATTTTGCGTTTCATCGATGGATGTCTTCTCGGAGGGCGATATACAGTCTCATTATTTCATCGTGATTAGAGTCACCAATCGTCGGCTTTTCCAGAGTAAGAGGACTAACGCGTGAACTTGTTCTGACACATCGACACTATTTCGTTCATGCTGCCGGCCGTCCGTGGACTTGACTAATCACATGCTTCTCACTCCACACGTCTCCGTTTGGAAACATTAACCGCTGCTTGACTTAAAAGATTCATACCAATAACTACTAAAGTATTATCAAATTTGCTATCTACAATACTAAATTCAATATTACCAAAGGATGCACTGTACAAACGCTTGCTTCGTACAGCCCATCACTGACAATGGTATCGGGAATCATGTGAACACAATTTTTTACTTACTTACGATCATTTTTCTCTCGCTTGGGCGATGATAAGAAGTACTTAGGTAGGATAAAGGAAGATTTATGTCCGGTTTCCGTCATTTCTTCACGAAATTCGTTATGTAACATCAAATCGCAACGATTCAACATGTGCCAGAAATTGTGATCGCCATATTTTCCAGTTTTTAAATCGGCCGGATGCAGACATACGAGCTGACCCCTCCGAGTGTGTTTCGGCCATGAAATAAAGGCTCCTCATAAAAAAAGCATGAGCCGTTCGGAGGCTGCTTAGTATAACTTGTAGGTCCCTCCATTTATTGGAAATTGGGGGAGCAGCTCTACCGAAAAGCGCTTCAACGGTTATCAAGTGTCAATTATATATAAAATAAACTCTTACTTTTAGTGGCAAGCATGAATTGCAGAGATGAAAAATGTAGACATTTTATGAAGTGTTTGGATATCACAGCATTGTTATCTAGTTTACTTTTCTCTACGTGGGGGTGCTAGTTTCAGCTCAACGACGATGGACGTTGGCTTGATTATGGTTATGATTATGGTTAGTAATATTTGTAATAAATGCTTTTTTATTTATTCTGTCTACTTATAATAATTAGATGCCGTACGTTAACTTTGGGCACACAACCAAATATGAATGTAAATGCCTTTAGACTGCTCATGGAATATCTACATGCGTGGGGCAACTTTCTCATGTTGTTTCCAATCATTTCGGTATATTAATAAGCAGAAGCAGTGAAAACGCTCTTAATCAAACAAATATTGTACACAAACATTTTATTAAATGTCAGTTGTTTAACTATCAGTTGTATCGAATTTAAGTTCGAACCTTTTTGAAATCGAGAGAATTTCATCACACCTCAAACCATGCGATTTGCGGTTTCGGTACCAAAACGAAATCGCGCGATGTTTAGCACATGTATGTACGTATATGTAGAGTTGTTCGTAACCAAAGTGATACAGCTATGTAAGAAATAATAAGTTTTATTTAAAAATTAAATTAATTTTCCAAAAAACATGGATGCCAGTTAAGAGCCGCAGACAAATTTCATAGATACTAAAATTTTTTTATATTTTTTATGTAATTTTCAGCGAACACGAACTTCACTATTAAATTGTACCTCACAGCGAAAATGTTGCAGTAATAAAAAATTAATAAATTTCAATTTAAAGCACAAACCAAAATTCTATGTTATTTAATATATACTAGGATACACCTTGCTGTTTATGACTGCTTTCATACGTTTGGGCATGGATTACGATAACTTCTTCGTGTAGTCATTTTTCCTTTCCGTTTGTAGACCATTTTTTATGTCCACTTGATTTCGAATCTCATAATTTGAATCTCTCGTTTCAAAAATTACCATAGTTTCTCAATAAAATTCAAATCTAGGGAGTGCGTTGGGGTTTTTACTATGTGCGGACAGTTTGCAATGCCTGATTTGTGTTTCGGACCATTACCTTGATAGTACTGAAACTTGTCATGAATATTTAATTTTGCAACAAAGTTCCTTTAAATATGTCCAAATACACAGTATTACCCATAGTGCTATTGATGAAATCCAAATTTCCAACCCCAGAACGCGACATGTATCCTCGTACCATTACATGCCCTCTACCATGTTTTACAGTGCTACGTAAATTTTGCGGTTGTAACGCAGCATTTGGTGTTCTCCATACGTAACTCTTTCCATCTGATTTAAACAGTTTGATTTTACTTTCGTTCGCAAAAACACGGTGCCCCAGAATGTTTCATGTTTAGATAAATGCTTCTTTGCAAACTTCAGCCTTGCACTTTGATTTTTAGCACTGACATGTGGCTTATTTCGAGCTGCGCGGCCATTGAAATCAGTTTCTTTGAGGATTTTTCATATGGCTTCTGAATTACAGCTTTTTCCAAGATATTTTAGTATTTCTTTACCTAAAGCTAGAGTACTTAAGTGGGGTTTTCGCGTATTTTTCATACAATCCATCGATAATCACTTTCGTTAAATATTTTATTATGAGCCGTTTTAGTTTTATATTACACACGACTTTCACGAACATGGCGCTCACTGATATACTGAACAGTTCCTTGGTTCAATTTCAACATTTCCGCGACTTTGCGCTGACTTTTACCATCTTTATAATGTTCAATTCACTCCTAGTTTGGCGACCCATGTCGATCTACACTCAACCAATGTAAATACTATAATGTCCAAAATATCATATGTTACACCAAGTTTGCTCCCGATTATAGCGGTATTTATTTTGCATTCAAAAATCGTCGACAAGACGCCGCCACTAACGGTATAAAAACAAAAATGTAAATTACATAAAATATAAAATTTTTAAAGCATCAATAAAATATGTATATCTGCGGCTATTAATTAATTTTTTTTTAAATTTTAAATAAAACTTATACTATATCTTAGATAGCTTCATCACTTTGGCTGTGAGCCAATGTATGTGTGCTTGTCTCTTTAATGCCTTTTGTGATCTGTTCCGTAGATTATGATAGTTTTTTATCTTTATCCGTATTTTTGATGACTAAACATTATGTTTCTTTGTAGATTTTAAATTTTCGGCAATATGGTTTCTCATCGTGTCTTTTATATCGTCTCTTATCCTTTGTATGTATTATTTGATATCGGAGTCTAAGTGTATAGCTGAAAATATTTTTCTTTAAATTGGTAATGCAAATTTGTAGAGAGCAGTGGCAACAACCACGCCTATCCGATTTTCAGCTTTCATAAAGTCGGTCTGTCACTATCCTCCTCTCGCTTAACCTAAGATAGAAATTTCCACTTCTTTCAATTGTTAAAAGCTGCAGTATTTTACTAGTTTTTAATTTTTATTACTTCGCTACGGATATTTCATTCTACCTAAAGATCATATATTTTAGACTAACTGATGGAGCTGTTTATTAATTTTCAAATTTTCATGTTTTCATACAGGCATCCCGATAAAAGTGAACATCCAGAAGCAAGTAAGGAATTTGTTAAAATAAAACAAGCGTATGAGTTGATAAGCGACCCTGACCGTCGACGCATGTATGATCAGCATGGTATACGTAATGAGGATGCACATTATTTTTCATCTCGTTCAGACTTTTATCGTAGTAAAACTTCTTCAGACCAGTTCGAAAACTTTTTTGGAAAGCAGTTCAATATGGATAATGACATTAGTTTTTATCACAGAATATCTATTACAACTAAGAACTACGAAAAACACATAGTCCCAAAGAGTGAGACCACACCGTATATGGTGATATTTTATAATGATTGGTGTTTCCTTTGTATTCGACTCATCAATTCATTTAAAAAGCTTATCAACGCTCTGGAACCGCTAGGTAAATACTTTTAACTACATTTATTAAAACCATAATGTTACGAAATACAACGTCACTCACATGTAGTGACCGTAATTATTGTCTGTAAGCACCAAACCTTGGAAAGGACGAAAGATGAGACTGTTTGTTTTTAAAGTTAATTCTATTCAGTGCTCACCATGGCACTATCTGTCGGATGCAAGAGTCTTATGGAAATTTAAATATATAATATAATATTAAACCTGGATTATAGAGTTTAAACTAAAATCTACTATTAAAGACTAATTTGTTTAATACTTACTTTAAAAGGTATCAGAAAAAAAACTAACTTAAATATTAGGTGTAGTAAAAAGAAATCCATTATTTTTGCATAAGAGTGAATGGTTTAATTTTTTCTTTTCGTATTCAGCGATCCTTTTGTGCAATCTTTAGCTCTAAAACAATTGGCAATGTCCATAATTTTATCGACATTTTCGACAATTGGCTTTCCACTCGGTGAAGCATCTTTTGCATTAAAATTACCGAAATTGTGCATGATTAACAGTAACAGTATCACGACCATAAACGCTATTCACATTTTCAGCCGCCTGGTTTGCGTTCTCGTCCTTATCGAAAAAAACTGAGATAAAGCGTATTGTCACTAGGACCATCTTTGACGCACGCTGAAACAAAACTGAATCAACCAATCACAAAACAGTCAGTACGAAATGCTGTCTTTCTAGCGCTATCCAGCGGATATAAATAAGGCCATCTATTGGACAAATAGTGGATTTCTTTTTACTGCTTCTAATATATAGAGAAATCCTGATTTTAAAAGTTGTGAAATTGTGAATTAAAGATATCAAAATTAAAATATATTACGAAATTGAAAATTAAAAAGTGTGTTATGTATTTATAAATATTTAAATTAAACAGTACGCGAACTTGAATATTCTGCCGAGATCCCTCTAATGAAGTGAACTTAAATAATAAACGAATTTGAAATTTAAAAACAATAATGGCGGCGAAATTCGGAACCTGTTCGGAAAAGTGAAACCTGTGCTGAAAAATAATACTTATATATAAAATTCTATAAGTGAAAATCCGTACACTTATGTAGCTCTTTATCAATGTAAAGTGCCAATTACATACATATCTATGCCTTGATCCTTGGGCTAGACACCTCTTACGTGATTATAGACAAGTTAATAACATCGCGCCATTCATTCCTTTTTGTTGTTTGGCGCGAATTGAAAATACAAAGTACAGTCGGAGAATCAAATGACAGCGGTATCCGCCGCTGACAATCATCTCTGCAGCTCATATTATTTTCTCTAGCAATAAATAAAAAAATCACACAATAAGAAATTATGTTGCCTGAATGCTCGTTTGGTATAGAATGGCTCGAAGAGATTCTTCCCTTAAAAGCTCTTTTTCGTGTTCTCCAGGCTGCCTTGCCTGGAACTTCTTCATTGTCAGACACTGAAAAATCTCCTGATGTTCAATTTTCCATCCATAAATTGAGTATACTCTGCGTATCAGACACTAGATCACCTTAACCCTTAAACCAAATATGTCGGAGTGCCTCTCAAAGTGTTAGCTTCTTTCAATTAAGTTTGCAATTTGGGCACGTCAGTATGCAAGTGAAAAGTGAATATTGAAACTAAAAGTCCATACTAATTTTTTTTTAAATTATATTTATGTGCTTTTAATGGGATGAACGTTATCTAAGATTGCTTAATATTCTTGTTTGTTCCAACGTTTGCTGTCAGCAGAAATTTGTCTTAAGAAAATATTCCATTTCAGCCGCATAATGCCTTGTTGAACGGTTCTCCGCAAGAGTGAAGGTGCAGCAAATAAATTTTTGAAAATAATGTTACATGATTATATTAATTAATTAAAAGTGAAATTTTCTTAACGTCTATAAAAAAGAAATAATATAATGTCTTTGATAAGCCATTATATTGAATCCACAAAAGTCTAGGTACATCTAAAGAAAGTAAATTAGAATTGCAGTTATGACATTGTTTTCTATGCAAACCTCATCTCTTTCAGTATTTTGTAGGATATCCTTTAGTTTTTATTACTGATCTCAACCTTTTAGGCATTGAATGTACCAATTTTTTGGTGAGCTCGTTTGCTCCTCTAGCAGAACCTCTTTAAGCTGCGCCTTGATTGAAATCGTTCTTTTCCTGATTCTAGTTTCAAGCTCATACTAAAGATGCTCATTCGGATTTAAATCCGGGCTTTAAGGTGGAGTAGGAAATATACGAGCATTGTACAAACACCACATTCGAACTTTGTGAGCAGTCTGCTTTGGGTCATTGTCATCTTGAAACAAGAAGTCTTCTTGTAACCCTATCCTAAGAGCACTTTGCTTCATATTATTTCGCAGAATATCTAAACACAAATTCTGGTCGATGTTATTTTCGACAAAATCAAGGTTTCCTACCACCCAGCTGTCATGCGACCCCATACCATAACACCAAAGCCTCCGTGATTAGCTCAGTTAAAAGCTGCTGTGGTATCCGCTACAAGGTTTAAATAAATAAAACACAATTTCTAATTAGTAACATGTTTATTTACAATTCCTTAGCGCGATGGTGATTCTGCAAATTTTTTTTTCGTGTGTCAACAAAGAAGTGTGTGTAAGCAAACGGCAAAACAAAACAAGCCGACAAAGTAAAAGGAGCTAGTTGAGCTTTTTAATGGAAGCTCGACCTACGTTGCCATTGTGTTTGTGGAATAAACATTCCGCCCGCCTTGCAGTATCACCACGCCATCCAAGTGTGATATTTTCAGCCACTAGTGGACCGGTTGTCGGGAGGATTCCCGGTTGAATTAATCGCGCGTAAATGTCCGCGCCTAAAGTCATTTTCACTGGTTCCGGCTTGGTGAATACAGGGTCAGCCAGTCGGAGCTTTTTGACACCTCTGCCGTTTGTTCGTTGAGCGACCTGAGCGGAGTTGGAGTTTGTGGACTTGTGCGCAAACGGAGAGCTCTGCCTGACCCCCGTTGTTGTCCCGAAGCGTGAGTTCACACAATCGACTGGCTTCACGCACCTGAGTGCGGAGTCGCAGTCTTCCAACCGTGGCGGTGGAAATGATGGATACTGGACACACAGGGTTGAAAACAGCTCTAACTGCGGTAAACCTGTCCGCAACTGGCAACTGAACAACCGCAGTGGGTGCCAGCGCCAACATTTGTGGCCAAGGGAGTGCCGTTGTCCTCGCTTCGATTGCCGCTCGCGCATTTAACCCACAATGGGCACCTCGACCGCGCCGGCGCCTCGATTGGGGTGGCCGCACGGATTGAGTCCCGTTCGGTCCGAGGGATGTCGCTGAGACGGATCGAGTTTTCGCCGATCATCCCTTAGCCGCCAATTCGAACTGAAGTTGCCCACGCGTTTAGCTCGGCGAGACGGATCGAGTCTAGTGCGGTAATGTGCGTGTGGCGTGGGAGATGTCGCATCGTGGGCTCCGGAGTCGCTGAATTTTGTACAGGTGGTCGGTAGGGGTGGGCGAGCATCGTATCCGTTGCTGCAGTCGTTGATGCTATAACCAATTGAGGTTGATCCTTCGCTGCTGTTTCGTTTGTGCCTTCTCGTAGCTCTGAAATTAGCATTTCCTTTTCTTCTACCTTGAGGCCTTGGGAGCTCGACGACGTCATTGTCGGACTAATCGTATATGATAGAGCTGAAGCCGTGCAGCATAGTGTGATGGCTTCCTCCGCACCTCTTACAGTGAATGAAGCTAGATCACTCGCCTTGCCTTGTGGTTGTTTGTGAGGCAGTTCGTACAGTATAGGTGGTTTGACGACGTTTTCCACCGTGCGCCGGGAGACATTTGACGAAATTCTGGGCACAAGAGAAGAAAGAAAATATGATTAGTTTTCTTGCGGTAGTATAACCAATTTGACTACTGGTCTACTGGTGATTCCACGCTGGGTTTTGACGTCCACAATTTGGACTTTATGGTCGGTGCCTGGATGGACCTTTTCTACCCTACCTAACCGTCACTCATTTAAAGGTAGATTTTCTTCCCGTATGAGGACTAAGTCGTCGACCTTGAAGCTTCTGTGAGGATGCTTCCATTCATACAGCCTTTATCTGGTGATTTTGAGTTTTGCTTTCGAAAAAGGAGGTTTTTTGCCAAGTGAGCTCTCACTTCTTTGAAACTGCCTCATGGCAATAAGTCGTTATCCGCTAGAGGATTGTTTGAGATGGAAGGAGTCCCGTCAGCTTAGGAAGTACCATTGCATCGGCTTTAAACCTTAAGTCTGTGTTTCTGGGGTAATTAAAACTATTTGGAATTTGAATCTCAGTTTATTTACTGTGCCTCTTGAACAATTTTCTAGAGATTTCTTCACTTTAGTTCCTTATTTGAACCACCAAGTTTTTAATATTAAAAAAATTCTCAACCCTCCTACAATTCTTTGGATACTTCGTGATAAAATATATAAGTGTGTTTTTCTTCGCTGTCATTGCACAGGATCTTAGCGGCCCTTAATGCCGTTTAGACATTCTATTTTTCACAGATTCGTCTATCAGCTCTTTCGGAAATCTCATTGTAAAACTCTTTTAGTGACTTACGTATTTCTTGTATTAGTTCAGCAGCCAGTCTTCTTGCGACACTTTTGGTAACCTAATTACTTATTTCGTTTGCCACAGGGCTCTCGTAGGCAGGAATGGTAATATTTTTAGGTGTGCTGAGTCCGAATACGACTTTAATGTTTACCATTGAGCGTTATTTCTTCGGACAGCAATCTCTATACAGCTTGCTTCAAAATTAAAAGTAAACTACATAAGAAATATTAGCGGCCGTGGTAGCCGAGTGGTTAGCATTGCGTACTGACATTCGGAAGGCAGGGGTTCGTATCCCGGTGTCAGCAACATCCATGGAAAATTAATTTAAATAAGGGAAGAAGTTAAATTTTGTAATTGCGGTCGCCCTCGGCAGGGAATGTCCACCCCACCGAGTGTATTTCGGATAAAAAATAGAGGCTCCTCGTAAAAAAAGCATAAGCTGTTCGAAGGCGCCTTGGTATAAACTGTAGGTCCCCCAATTGTTGGAAAGACATCAAGCCGATAAACCACAAATTGGAGGAGAAGCTCGGACGAAAAATCACTTCATATATATATATATACCTAAAAAAGATATTCAAAAGAATCAATATGCACAAATTTTTTAAATAAATAATGTTAAGTAATTTATTACTGAAGATCTGTTATTCATTTTCTCATGCGGGAATGTCAATTTTGCTATGAGTAGGCTTCGATGCTTTAATAATATCGGTTAATATGATATATCTTTAGAGTTGGTCTTTTGAAACGATTTGATTGACTGCTGTGCCCCACATCTATATCCCGTACATCTATATGATACAAATTACCGAATTTTAAGTCGCTTCCTTTCATTTTGTAATTATGTTTTCCTCCTATCAAGATTTAGTCTAAGATATTTATTTTCCTTATTTCGAGGTATGACGTCTTAGCGTAGAGTAATTTTAAAATACTTTCATTGGTCACTTTTTCAGCCACTTATAGATTTATTCTGTCGAGGAATAAAATTTACCATTCAGTTAACTTTGTTACTATTTCGTATACTGAGTTCACTGTAACCCTGCAAAATTTTGTTACCCGCGAAATAGAAGGTTACAAACAATATGCTGTTTGATTTTGTGTCGCTGATTTGAGAAAAATAAAAACCAAAATGTATAGATTTCATTGAAGAAAAAAGTGCTTGAAGGCGCATGTTAAGAAGTTAACGAGAATACAATGACCCTTTTAATTTGGGAGTTTTCATACAGCTTACTTTGTCGTCCTGGCTTGATTTCCATAATTAGGTTCAATTATTTATGGCAAATAAATAAAACTTACTTATTTGGCTGCACTGATGACTCCACTCTCTGTAACTAAACGTCGAAATTGCGCTCTCTCGCTACCAATTTTTAATAACATACAGTGTGAGCCTGTGACACTGCTGCTAAACTTTCTTAGAGTTTAGTCTATTCCTTACTATGCCTTTTTTTGTAATTATTAAACAGACAAAATTAACTTTTCTTGTGAAATATCTTTTCTTAATATGTCTATGTAACTATTATATTGTGCTGTGTTTTGGTCTAAATCCAAACTGCTTTTGGTTTGTGATACATTACTAGAAGCGGAACGACAAATTAAGTAAATTAGTGTGAATTTTGATAAAAATGAGATAATTGACATACGACTCGGGTTCTGGTTCTAAAGCCTTTGGCAACGGTCAAGTCAGGTGTTGTAATAAAGTTTCTCGGCTGGGGTACACTCAATATACCTTCTCTAACTTCTGATCGACTATGGCATATGCCTTTTTGAGATGAAAACCGCTCGGTGAAAGTCACAGACAAGTATACCTATTGACTATCTACCTAATATTTCCAAATTATAGGTAGAACGTTATTTTATAATAAAAACTGTCATAATAAAACAGTTCACAGTTCACATTTATAAAAAATATAAATATAAATAAAAATATTCTGATGCCTATATAGGGATTTACATATGTATGTACATATAAGAAAAATTTGAAATAATTATATGTACAGTATGTGTAAAATGAAGTTGTCAACGTAGGCGCTTACAATATAATATATGCACGATGTAGTAAAACATGCATCCCAGTGATTGTGATATACATTGTGGGCGCCGTTCGCTAAAAACCCGCTTCTGACAGTTTTGAAAAACTTCTCATATTCTTGCCAGTACACTTTAGGCTTTAGTTGTTTGCTTCCTGTCATTTGATGTACTTGTGCATATGTACATGCATCTATTTACGTGTGGTCATACATATTTGTATACTTATGCTTGCTTGTATGCGTAAGTGCGATTCTCAATGATTAATGAAGCACTAAACTTAAAGTTTCTATTGGGTGCTTGGTTGATATTCGAAAACTTGAATTATTGTATGCTCAGATTTTTGCCATCAGCTCGCTTCACAAAATTTGAAGTGCCAAAGTGCTCAAATAAATTTCAGACGCAACAAATAAAATGGTCTCCCCGCACCATCTCCAATTTCACACCTAGAGCTCACTCCCGAGCTTCACACAATAAACACAGAGCGTTTAGAGAGTAATGCAGGGTGACCAGCATTACCTCTAATTTTTTTCTATGGAGCTCACGCACAAACTCCATTTAGAACCAAACGGCTAGAAGATACAAATTCAAGCGCATTATTAATATCGCCTTCCCTACTCCTCAACATGCTCTCCCTCCTACCCTTAAAGTTTAGGCAATTATGAATGGTCCTTTGGGGTCTGAGACAACAATATTTATAGTTTGTTTAGCTTCTATGAGAAAATTTGGGGCACTGTTCAGTAGATAAATATGCAGTACGAGTACAAATGCGAAGCAGTAGTAGTGGCAGAGTCGATGTGGACCTCTAATAAAGATATTTAATATTAAACCAATTTGCTTTAAATTTTATTGAAGGGATAATATACCCTTTAAATTGCAATGGAAAAATATCTATTATAAATTTATCGAAAGTTTAAAAAAAATTTTGATCACATTATATCAAGCATATAATTAAACATCATAATATATCTTATTTCATAGGAATTAATTTTGCTACAGTAAATGCGGCATATGAACCAGCCTTACTGAAAAAATCGGGAGTGAGTTCTATTCCAAGCCTGGTTTTAGTTTTAGACGGACATTGCTATATTTACCGAGGAAACATTTATACTTTGGCCAAAATTAAAGGTAAGAGTTTGATAGATTCAGTTAAAATTAAAACTTTCAGATATATTTTGAAAAACAAAAAAAATATTCTGGTCTAGTAAAATAAAATATGAATTATTTTAAGCAATATATGGCTCTAGTGTTATATAAATCGCTTTTTATAAGTACGATTGGGTTACGCTGGATGAAGTTAGAATGATCATATTTTGTACTAAAAAAGATAGCGGGGAAGTGTTGATCATTTAACTCAGTAGTGTTAAAGCGCATGTCAAATTAGACACCAGCAAAGTGTAAATACGCTATTTTCTAATATTTTTCATCGATAAAGGCGAGGCCAAACAGCTAAAAATATGAATGGTGTTTATGATCCTGACACTGTAACGTAAATAATCCGGTAATTTTGATGCAAGAGATGCTCCACTGTGTGGAAGGCTAGTTGTGGAAAATATTCATAAAGTTGGAAATCATTGATTCTGAAGGCCAAGCACGACAAGCACTACAAAAAGCATGGAAGCACAAAGAACCTCTATATATGGGTGCCACTTGAGTTAACGAGAAAAAATCTCATGGACCGAATTTCCATCTGCGAATCGCTGCTGAATAGTGACAAAATTGACACATTTCTGAACTGGTGTTGGATTTCTTACAGCAGTATCAAACGGAGAAGGTTGTGGTCGAAGTACTGTAAGCCGGCACAAACGGTCTCCAAGCCAGGATTGACGGCCAAACTCTTGATTCAGACTTGCACTGTCAGTAGTTGGACCGCCTGAAAGAAGCAATCGTTCAGACGCGCTCAGGTTTGGCCAACAGGAGAGGAAAAATTCTCATGCAACCCCTTAAAGTGCGGACCTCTCAAGTGATTACTATCTGTTCCTCTCTATGGCCAACGATTTGACTGTAGAAGGATTGTCCTGAAGAGAAGCCTTAAAAATCGATTGTCTAAATTTTTTCCCAAAAGTGGCAAGGTGTTCTATGAGAGAGGCATAATGTCAGCCATTGAGCAAAACGGAGCCTATTTGATATAAATCGGATAATTATAACTATAGTAATTAAAGAGTTCAATTTAGTGCAAAAGTAATGGACTTTCTTCTACTAGACCAATATATTTTAATTTAATTTTTATCAAGATTATTAAATTGCACGATTTAAAAAATTGCCGTATAAAAAAATAGCATGAGTGAAGAACATAGGATGAAGGTTAGAAATCCACGCGAGTAGGGAAAGAAAATATTATTTTACAAATGGTTCAAACAGCTAACCACATCCTGTCATTGACCAAACCTACAAATAACAAAAGTCATATTTTGCACACATACAAGTGAATTTGAGGATAGACGCCAAACGCAGGCACAAACCGCGAGTCGCCAAAAATTTCCTTTTGTATTCACAGTTATTTATATGACTTTTTAACAGGGAATCTATCAAAAATTGTAATGGAGCCTTCTTGATCAGGTAATTTAGGAGATTAAAAGAGATTCCACTTGTTACATTTCAAATAAGGGGGTTCTCACCACATATGCAGACGAATTTCATTTCTATAATCTATGGCTACTGTAGTCTGTTTTTGTAAAAAAAAAATTCCGCCAATGTTGCTCAATTTCCCAGTATATGCATTTCTTTATAGCTGCCTGGTCAAATATACACGAACTTCTCAAGGCAGAACAAGAACAAATACAGCAATAGCAAAATAAATTTAACACCAACAATAGTTGGTGGACGTACCGCCAATACAGAAACCATCGGTTTTCGGCAGTGCCTGTGCCTACTTCGCAACCTAGCGATCCACCACAACACCTGCGGTGTGGGATAGATACCGAGAGTTCAAGAGGGAAACAAGACGCATTTGCAGGAAAAAAAGAAAGAGGCCCGAATACGTGACTATGAAGAATGCTTGAGAAACTGGCCGACAAGGGAAATGCTCGAAAATTCTGCGAAAAGATACAGCGGCTTACAGAAGGGTTCAAGACTCGGGCAAACTCTTGTAGGCCCCAGCGTGCTGAGTGGCAGAGAGGAAATGAGACAACCGGAGATGGTAAACTAAATCCCAATCGATCCACAGTCTGCGCTAATCGCATTGGAATAAGCCTCCTCAATATCGCAAATGAACTATTGATTGTTTTGTGTGAAAGACTAAAGCCCACCGTCATCAAACTGATTGGACCTTAATTTTATGGCCATTGACCAGATATTCACCATGCGCCATATCTTTGGATCGACACACACTACTTCTTCGTCGATTTTAAACATCCTTCGGCGGCACAAGAAAGAGCTGCTTCTACGCCGTTACGTCTGAATTTTGTATCCGCAAAAATTATACGGCTGTGTAAACTGACGTTAGACAACATCAGAAGCGCAGTCAGAATTGGGAAAGACCTCTGCAAGCAGTTCAGTACCAAACGAGATTTCAGACAGGGCAACTCTTTATCGTGTGATTTTTTCAATTTAATGATAGAGAAAATAATAAATACTGCAGAGATAAATAGACGAGGTACAATATTTTACAAGAGTGAACAACTTTTGGCGTATCCGATGATATTGATATCAGGCTTTAACAACCGTATCATTAGTTCTACTTTCTCCGTACTTGATAAAGAATCGAAGCGAATGGGTCTGGTAGTTAACGAAGACAAGAGGAAATATCTCCTGTCATCGAACAAACAGTCATCACATTCGCGACGCGAGTCACTCGTCATAACTTTGAAGTCGTAGATTACTTCGTCCATCTTGAAACCAGTATTAACACCAGCAAAAGCAGCACCTTTGAAATCCAACGCAGAGTCTCTCTTACCGACAGATGCTACTTCGGACAGAGTAGGCAATTGAAAAGAAAAGTCCTCTCTCGACGAACGAACACCAAACTCTACAAGTCGCCCATCATATCCTTCCTACCATATGGCACAGAAGCGTAGACAATGTGAACATCTGATGAGTCTGAATTAGGAGTCTCCGAGGGGAAAGGTTTGCGAACGATTTATGGTTCTTTGCACATAGGCAACGGCGAATAGCGTACACGATGGAACGAGTTATATGATATTGACATAGTTCAGCGAATGAAGAGACAGCATCTACGGTGGCTTGGTTATGTCACCGGAAGAATGAAAGCACTCCAGCTTTGAAAGTTTTCGAGGCAGTACCCGTTGGTGGAAGCAGAAGAAGAAGAAAATCTCCGCCCCGTTGGAAGGATCAGGTGGAGAACGACCTGATTTATTGGCATTTCCAACTGGCGTCACAGAAAGAAGAGAGGAATGCTATGATTGATTCTTCAATAATCGCGTATGTGGTGCCAACTTCAATAAATAAGAAGAATAGAGAATTCCCACTAATCTGAATGTACGCCTCGTTAAGTTTCGGGAGTACTCTATCTCATTAAAGAGGTTTACTAATAATATTCAGTATTCTTAGTTATAAGCAAGACAAGTATAGCGTATATTGATGTATATTTTGTGTATATTTTTCCAATTCAAAAATTTAATCAACATAGCTTATCGACAACTGCTTGATTCTCAAAGAACTTGTAGAGCGCCTCCATTAGACCATAAGGCTCTTGGGTGTTTTGGAATTCGATTTCATTCTTATCATTTGTATATTTGTACAAAATTAGTTAGAAAATTAATCACATAGGCTTTATTGAAATTAATTTTTTCTAAGTGCTTGCATAGTTAAACTGAATTCTGCGCTTTTAAATTACACTGGTAAAAAAAATTGCGTTTTTTGTTAAATGAAAACTTATATCAAATTTTGAATGTATTCAGGCCGCCAAAAAATATACATGTATAAATATGTCAATAAATAAAAATGTGTGCACTTCATATTGTGACAATAAACATTTTCGGAGCAAATACAAAAATCTGAACTTAGAAATATTTTAAGCTTACCAAAATAATTTGCTAGCAGTCATATACTTTATCGCCCTTTACAACACTTTTTCATCAAGAAAATATGCTGATGAAACCTCTCAACTTATACCTCACTCACATCATCCAAAGTTGTCGAAAAAAATTGAAATGAGAGTCCAGCTTAGGTATTTTTATTTAATTATATATATTACATTATATTACACCCCAAAGCTGTTTATTTATTAATTCTTTGATTTATGATTTCCAAGAAAGTTCTGAACAACATTCACAATACATTGTCAGACAAGTTTTCCCAGGTCATTCAGTTTTATTTTAACGGCCTTAAGATAAATTGCTGTATTTTCAATTCTGACTCGATTAGTTTCACTGTCTTGAGATACCATATCCTGCTGATAGTAGATAGTAGTTCTGTTCGTTGATCAGATGGGCAGTAACAGTTCTTACTTTACTTTACTGAATCGTGTTCGTTGAGCGAAAACTCAGTAAAATTTGTTGACCAGAGGGCAGAGATTTGATGTTTAGCTTAGAGAGAAAGTTTCAAATTCGTGCTGGGAAAATTTGACTCAGTAAAAACTAGCAAGTATGAAAAACAGCTGATTTGTGATCATTTGATTGAGTTTATGTCAACAAAACAAAAATCATTTAAAATGAAAATAATAGTAACACTTTAATATGAATGATATACTACCATTAGAATTAAAAATTAATCTCTCTCTTGGTTTTTATTTAAACAGAATAGAATAAATTCTATTATAATATTGAGTTAATATAGACGGCTTACACGGAAAAAGAATTTCAATCTCAGCTTCGTATTTCTGTCATCTTGAAACAAATGGTTGCAAAGCAATATTTACATAAATTTTCGCCCCTTTAGAGGGCTGTTAGAAAACATATTGGTATCTTTATAGTCGGACGGATATAAAGCATGTAGAGTTTCATCATTCTTGAAATACAATAAATTGAATTGAAGTAGACAATTTAACTTAATTTTTCATTAAAATTAATTTTTTATAACTTTTGGATGTTTGTCGTACCAAGATTAGACCCTGGCCGTCCGAATGGCAGTATGCAATGCTAACCACTCGGCTACCGCTACTGCGGTATAAATGAACGGAATTTGTAAACGTGAATCCTCTTCGGTGGAAACTCAGTAAATTTCTATATTTGGGACTCTACGCTAAGATTTAAAAGTTAGTTCTTCACACAAATACATAGAACAGAAACTGTCGAGATTGTAAGAGCATATCCGTGGCATATTTACGTAGAAATTACCGCAAGTAGGTGTTACAGGAAAAAAATTGATCTGAATGAACATTTTTAATGATGGTACACTGATATGAAAAAAAACCATGACGTATCAGTGTTAAAAAGCTGCAAATTTGCAATAGTAATATTATTATTGAAGGAGAGGCACTGTAAAACGTCTGCAGATGATTCTTTTGATAATATTATATGTATTTGTAATTGTTTTTGTTATAGAGTTCATAAGAAAAAAGATGCCATACGCAACTACGCAGAGGATAAATGATGATAATGTGGATGCTTTTCTAGGAGGATGGATCGATAATAGAGTGCGTGCATTAATATTTGAACCTAGAAATCAAACTAGATTGCAATATTTAATAAGTGCATACGCCTACCGGTATAGAGTAGCATTTGGGTAAGTAGTGATGTTGCTGCAGCACTGCAATTTTAAAAAAGTATTATTTTTTTACTAAATAGTTCATTAAAAAAGTTTTTAGTTAATTAAGAAAATATAAAGCTATCTTACTCCAAAGAGTAATATGCAATCGTTTCGTTTCTGGAAGTCATTATTTAACGTAGCCATGTCACTGCAAGTAATGCTGCAACTACCAAATTTAAATACCTCTCAGACGTAACACCCTCCTGGAAGAGGTATATACAGAAACGAGTTGTCGAAGTTGCTAACAGCGACAAAATATTGCAAGATGCCAGTGTGTTTGCATACTTAATTTTCTTCAACGAAGTTCAAAAATTTTTATGTTCGAATATAAACGGCAATCGAATATACATGATCTATATGGGTATCAATAACTAACTACTAATTCAGTTTTCATTTCTATTAAAAAAACTTACGCTTTCTTAGAGTATTTGAAATTCGTTTAAAAAGTCAATACTGGCAACCTTGTAAAACAGCGAGCAATGAGCTAAGCAGGTTTTAGGGGGCAACCGTTAGCGACGGCATCGGCAAGCGATGACAACTTGTCTTTTACAAGGTACTCTCATAAGATAGGTTGCTATGGCTGGGAGGTATCTAAAATGGGTAGTTGCAGTATAATTCAGTTTTCATTTCTAGTAAAAAAAAACTTACGCTTTCTTAGAGTATTTGAAATTCGTTTAAAAAGTCAATACTGGCAACCTTGTAAAACAGCGAGCAATGAGCTAAGCAGGTTTTAGGGGACAACCGTTAGCGACGGCATCGGCAAGCGATGACAACTTGTCATTTACAAGGCACTCTCATAAGGTAGGTTGCTATGGCTGGGAGGTATCTGAAATAGGTAGTTGCAGTATAATACGTATCACTAAGCCCTTTGGGAAACCTCGCTTCGTCGATGTCCTTATCAACGATTGAGGTAGGCTTTAAAAATTTAAATCCACGAAAGTTTAACAGTTACAGTAAATTTTAAACCATCATTTACATATATGAATATATACAAAATTGAGAAATGTGAAGCAAGCCAATGCCCGGGACCAGGGTTCGATGTGCTAATAATTTGTAAAATGTGACAGCTTTTTGCCTTTTCGCCACTGCGGATTATTTTGATTTCAACTGTGCTCATATATCCATATCATAAGCGTAAATTAGAGTAGGTCGGCTTAATACAAGACATACGGATTTACATTTTTGAAGAAAGTTTTAAGTTTCAAAAAAGACTTTTCTCTAACTACATATGTCTCGCCCGCTCTTTCTTAAGTAGGGAAGCAATTTCTCAGCCTCTGCATTCTGTTAACGCAAAACATTGTATGCCCTTTGATGCAAGAATGTCTTCTTCTTTTTTACTGGCTGAAACATCGCTTACGCGATTATAGCCGAGTTAACAACATTGCGCCATTCATCCTTCCTTCCGCTCATTTGGAAATACCAACTACAGCCAGGTGTTTCTCTACCTGGTTTTGATATTTCTCTCCCTCTACTTTCACCAGCGAATATTGCATCGAAATCTCTCAAACCTCAGGCATTCTTTTCCATCCGGACCATATGACCTAGCGCGCGCAGGAGCTGTTTCTTGAATTGCTTAACTATGTCCATGCGGCAGTATATCTTGCACAGCTTTTGCGATATTCGCTTTTCCCGACTCGCAAAAGACCACAAATATTACGCAACAAATTTCTCTCGAAAACTCCTAACGCCGACTCATGAGAAGTTGTCATAGTCCATGCCTGCGCACTTTTTGCTGGACTTCAAAGAATTTAAAAGCTGATATTATTATTGGTGTTAATACTGGTTTCAGAGATAGATGAAATAATCTACGACTTAAAATTTATGACTATTAACAGTGACGTGAGAATAGAGTCGCGAATGGGATGATGGTTTGTTTGATGACAGGAGATATTTCGTCTCGAATCTGGAGATAGCAAAATCAGCTGTACACTCTTATAGTAGATTGTACCTTCTCTATTCTCTCTCTGCGGCTCGTATTATTTTCCCCAACACTAAGTTAAAAAAGTAACACGAGAAGGAACGGTCGAACGGTCTTTCCCGGTCCTGACGGAGCCTCTGGTGTTGCTTAACTTTGCATGGATACAGCGACCGCCGTCCGAATGGAGGAAAACACTCCTGTTCCGAAAGTCTTCGATTAATTACCCGCTGGAGGCAGCACAGAAATGCCGTCGCGCTATTATTGATTCGGCTATAATAACATAAGCGGCTCTTATCCCTCTGGTTACTAAATTATCGATTTTTTTTGCTGCTGGAATTTCAGTCATAACCAAGCATTCTGTAAATTCCTTTAGTTAATTAAGAGACTTAATTGTTTTAAATGATTTATCCAGTAGTTAACTATTCAATGTTTCTAAAGTTATTTTAATAATGGTGGTTATATCTACCTAATTGCAATTATATTGACATACTTCTTCTGAGATACAAATCTTTTCTTTCAGAACCGTTCAGTTGAATACCAGTAAAAGTGAGCGTATTCAGAATATGTATGAAGTTAATTCAAGTTTGGACACGCTTCTGATATTTAATGAGGATTCCAGCAGACCACATGCGACGGTTTCATCTGCAAATATTCCTTCAAAAACGTTAAATGATGTTATTTTCTCGAATCAATATCTTTTGTTACCCAGACTGTCTTCTCAACAAGTAATGGAAGGTAAGGGATACTGTATATATATGCTAAAAGATATACGATACCGTTTCTTTTTGTTTCTTTTAATTTATTACCGTCACTATAGACTTCAAACTACTCCTCGCAAGTGCGAGGCATTCGCAAATGTTATGCTTGAACAATCCAGTTTCATCCTCCTTTCAAGAACTACTGTATAAGTCGTTTGGGGGTACTCCGTCTTCTCTGCGGGCCAGTCTAATAGAAGTTGCCAATGATGGGAAATGACCTTCCTTGCAACTTCGACCCTATGTCAACGTATGTAACGGTTCTTTCGCAACTAATACCAGGTTCAAAGAAAACTGCTTAGGTAATACGTTAAGTGACCTACGGCGATTCTTCAAAGGCTTTTTGAATAGGTTCCCCTAGTGACTCTATTATCTAGTTTTAATCCATCCAAATAAAATTAATTAAGGCTTTTTATGATGCTTGGCCGCAAATCGGTTCAGCGGTTAAAAAGCGCCAATTCTATATATATTTTATTATTCGCCATTGTTTTCTATCGAAAATAGCTACTTTGTAATCTTTCGTGAACTTAGTGAATGTTATACAGCAGTCCGTCCTTCGTAGTAGGCAATAAGTAATAATTAAATAATTCAATAAATTTTTGTATTCTTTTCTTAGGAAACTTTTTAACTAGATAAAGCCGAATTGTTCTTTGTAGTTTTAAGAAAACTTGTGTTCGTATCAATAGATTGGCACTAGGTTCTCAAACACGCATTGAATTTTTTCTAGAACCCTATGAACTCGTTCGATTGTAGAGTGTTGTTTCATGAAGCCGAATCGGTTAGTTGGAGTCGTCTCAGCCCGAGTTCAGTTTAGTTAGGCTCTTAAGATTTTCGTCGTGGCGGTTGACCAATCGTGGTGTTAATTCTTTTTTTTTTTGCTTTTTCGTTTTTTTCTTGAGTTCAAGATAGGGGTGGGTTCCAAGCTATGAATAAATTTGAGAATTTCTGAGTCAATTTCTTTCAAAAGAAAACCTTTCAGTTCTTCTGTGAGTCTGCTCTACGTTTATCTTCATGGGACCAGATTTATCCTGCCTGACGTTTTTCCTTTATTTTATAATGGACATGTCCGAAGTTATATGCATTTAGTAAAGTATTAAGTGGCCTTAGTAATATCTTCTACATTTTTATGTTTAATCCAAAGCTTAAAACAGTTTTAAAATATGTCCTGGTTTTGGATATGTATGTTGGATATCCTAAAGAGAATATTTTCTGGTTCTTACTCCTGGAAGCTTTAACTTGCTCGCGGCCTTTGAATGACGTAAGTAAGACTTCGCTGCTTATGTTGTGTTTAGGTAAGCTATAGATAGCAGAGAGAAGCAATGACCCAATTTGATATCAACTATTATATCTTCTGCCTAAATTTTCTCTTTTCTCTAGTAGTGAAACCACCATGAGCATTCCTATGCATTCATAAAGACAGTAACAAGAAGTTCTTTTTTTCGTAAAATGTGTTTCTGATGCTAATATAACTAATATAATATGTTTTTGAAGAAAATTTATAACCCATCTATGTGATGTGACATTTCATACGGCAAGATTTAAGAATTTTTGAGACAAGATTTACCGATAGGTTTGTCGTAGTTGTTAACTGGCTCAAATTCGCTCATATTGCAAGTGAGCGTGATCCCCATTTCATCTAATTTTGACAGCAGTGCCAGATCGGGAAGGATTCAGCATCTGTTGTGCTCCACTATATAAGTAAAAAACCCGCTGTTTTAATTTCAACAGAAGCTTGCTTCAGCTGGAAGGTCTAAAGAAATTACTGTAGTTTGAATGTTAAAACTTAATAGATTTATTCGATTGTTTTTTCATTAAAATATTAGCGTAAAACTGCAATGAGGGACACCTGAGTACACCATACTACTTGCTCGTTATAAAAAATCCCCTTAATATCCCAAGAAATTCCTCTCTATCTCTATAGTGGCACTGTTCTGAAATGTATGAACTGAATTTTTGAGCGCTCTCACAAAATGAAGAGTTTCGTATCCAGTTTCTCGACAACTATTATTTTATTTTTACAGTGCCTCTATTATCGTCTAATTAGTTGTATTATCAACTATGTATATGTACAATATATCAACAGTTCTTTAAATTATGGCTCAAGTGTCAAATTGGATTATCCGTGGCATGGTTTTTTCAGAAAATATTAAGATTAGGAATGGTTATACAAAGCCATAAAAAAAAAACAATTTTTTAATATCTGGTTTCAGTTCCTAAGTAAAATTTTCCTTCAGAAGTTTTAATTTTTCTTTTTTCGTTAGATATACTTTCCACTTATTTTTTGTCAATATACATAGTACGTATAATTTTATTTTGTCGTAAAGCTGAAATCTGGCCATCTCATCAGGCGCTGTGAAATGCGCTGTGATGTTGTTCAACTTTCGTTTTATATTAGCTTTGTAGTAAATCCACATCTATACAAAGAAAATAGAAAATGTTAGTAATGGAATTTTTTGGCTTTGTTATACGTTCTGATCTTTTTCTTTATGGCGGGTCAAAAGAACCGCAATCAAAGCCAAAAAGTCTTTGACTTCTTACTTGCAGGGCTTTCATGGCGCGGAGTTTATTGTTTGTTTGATTATTTTATTTTATATTTTAAACTTTTTATTGAAAATATTTATGTACAATGGTTTTTTTTTTTTTGATGATTCGCTGTAAGTAGTTGTCTAAATTTCTTTACTTAATTTGTCAGTTATTTGTTTGTCCTAAGACAGTAGTTCCATATCTATTTCCTAAAATACATCTGTTGGAATTATAAGTTTATTGTACAAGTTGAATTTGAATTCAAGTTAGTTCCTATTACGCCTTTGTTTGAAACACACTTCGGTTTATTTATTTAACTCGGTCCACTAGCGTAAGTAATGTAACCCAACTCTGCCAAAAACATTAATAGACTTTAATGATCTAGTAGTTACCTTTATTTAATAACCTTTTATTTAAAATAAATTTCATAATATAATATGAGTTTATTTTTCAATTTCAAAGTTTTCATCCCCGCAAGTATTATGAAAAACTTTAGCGATCAAAAATTTAAATACTTATAGATAACAAGTTTATATGTATGTACACGTACATATATAAAGTTTTAATTATAACTTCAATTTCAAACGTTTCAGGAGTTTGTCCAGTTGAATGGAGTCAGCCGCGAAAGCGCTTATGTGTTATTCTTATTACAGAAAATAATGATTCGCACAACAACGCTCGTATTGCTTTCAGAAATATTGCACTTCAAACTGAATACAGCAGGGAAAGGGTACGATTTGCGTATATATTTAAGGTAAGGTAATATAAAACCAACATGTGTAATTAATACATACTGAGACATTTTTTTAATAACTACATTATCCAGCTATTTTTGGTGTATGGGTTGCACTCTTCTGCGTAGCAAAGTGTTATAAGCACTAGGTGGGGTATCACCAATAATTGAAAAAAAGAATTGCCCTTCTCTTCCGAAGAAGCTTAGGTTATGGCGATATGGTCATTCACTGGAGTAAATGACACGACAGGGAGACTGAGACCGTCTTTTATTTGCACAGACACTAATTCGTTCAGTGCAAAGCGGAATCAACAGTTGAATATGCAGGTCTCAATCAAAATGGAGGTTTTCTGCCGAGGCTGTCTTTTTTTCATATAACAGGTTTTTAAATGGCGCGTCCCAAACCAAGCGCACAAAGAAAAATAATACTATTTTACAAAAGTTCTTTGCTTTGTTGACAGAGCATTCCTATGTAAGATAATAGGTTTAGATTTAAATATTTGCTAATATCGGAATTATTATTATTATCTGAAAAAATAACTATTTCCATAAACTATTAGACCCGTTATCGCTCTTCTCGTCATACATATGTATGTATGCTAGTCAATTGTGCAGACGAACTTCCGGGTTTTATAAATTGACGTACTCCTGGCTGCAGCTGGTCTTTCTATATAATAAATATTAACAATATTAAAGAAATGGATACTATTAAAGGTGAATAAAAGATTTTCTTAGAAAACCGGGACAGAAACTTTGTAATTAACTTCTTTAAAGCTGGAAATGGCAACAAGTCATTTTTTGGCAAAAAGGCTAATTTTGCAGCTTTTAAAACAAAATAAATAAATGCACGTAGCTAAGCCGGATTAAAGAACGAAATCTTTAATAGTATTCTACACTGGTATATGCGGCCACACGTTGCTGTGTTTTGTAAAATTTTTACTAGAAATTCATTTTTTATTGTTTTATCACGTATAAGAACGTATTTAGTTTTTTTTTTTTTTTACAAAATTTTCATTATCGCTGTGTTGAACGCTTGGGGTTCTTCCTGCCAACAATATATGCATTTGTATGTGCATAAGCTTTCTTATATTCCCCTGATCCCAAATAAAATACTTAAAAAAATCAGAGTAGGGTTATTGTTTTGTGGAAAATTATAGAAATTTTTAGAAACGTGTGGGTCAAGTTGAAATCATTCTGTTTGACAGATCGTTTTAATACAGAGAAGTACTCAGTCGACGCTGACTGAGACTTTGTCATACTGAGAGGTAGAAAGTTTTTCCCTTTTGTTTAAGCAGTTTTATTATGTACCGCAGTTTGGCTTCGGTTTCGATTGTTATATCTACTGAGTTTTTCAGCTTTTCAGACAAAAATTTCATAGTTCATCGATGTTATAAATTCGCACCTTAAGTTAGACAAGGTTTCTAAACGTCAGTTACGCTGAACTATTTTAGCAAACATATCCATAACACGAATATCTTGTTGAGTGGGCTTAGCTCAGTAGGTGGCAAATTTTCAGGCATTTCTCTCCACGTGTCACAAGGAACGTAAGCTGGTGTTCTGATCGATTTGAGAGAAAAGACTGCGTATATCTACTGTGTTGCTGCGATATAGAGAGTTTAGCAAATAAATGGCGTGTTGCCAACATACGCCGGTTTGAGTTTATAAAGGGAAGATGGCGAACCATATTCCCCTTAGTTCCATTAGCCGGTGATGGAAAAGTCTGAATAGCGATCGGCCACCAATTATGGGTGGTCCTTTGCGAGTTGGGAAGGCGAATACTAAAGCTAATAGAACGATAAACTATCTCGTATAGTACGGCGACATTGACATTGTTCAACGAATCAAGAGACAGCACAGGGGCTATACTGCCTAGGTCATGTGGTCCAGATGAACAAGAACATCCCAGATTTTAAAGTCTTCGATACAGTACCCGGCGGTGAAAGCATTTGAAAAAAAAAACAACCGATTTCTATAAGTGATGAATATTTATTCAGTTTGGTTCCTTACAAAGCCATTTTTTTTGCCTAGTTTTTGAATACACTATCAATCAAGTGGATACCTTTATTAGCAATTACAAAATTACTCCTTTTTCCTGCGTTTGCTATTACCTATCCGAGCATGTCGACTGTGTTTGAGATAAAGTGTCACTATTTCAAATCAAAAATTGTACTGAATTAACGTTTCCAAAACATATCTGATAATATCGCTCGGTTGGTAAATGTGAAAGTTATTCAGCGTTTACATACGGACATAAAAGATGGAGCACCCTGCGTTTAGTGCACCTGAGCGGATTTCACTTTAGAAGTACTTTTGTATACTCGACAAGGGTTTACTTAGCTGAGCGAGGGTTAGTGGAGTTAGTATTACTTCCTCGATCTTTAAGAAAGAAAGAAAGAAGAAATAAAAATTTTATTATAACAGAGCAAATAGCGAATTGTTATTTTGGCCAACCCTAAGTATACGGAATATATCCTAACCGAGATATCTCGTTACAGCGTTTAATTAAGCTCTAACTTCTACTAATTTTGGTAATTTTTGAAAACTGAATCACTATATTCTTTGAAAGTAAACCAGTTGTAGGCTCATTTGTCATTTTTTATAATAAAGTAATATTTTTTAATTAGTTCTCTAGATTTATATAATCGCACAATAAAAACATTTTTACTACCCAGGAAAAGCAAAAGGACTTCATCAACTCAATTACCAGGGGATCCAAAGACGGTCAACTGTCTGAAATAGTAATTATTTGGCGGCGCGATCATACACATATAAGGTATGAATGGATTAAAGGACTCCATCTTAGCTGGGATATAAGCCTTTATGCTTCAAATCAAGACTTTATAAACGTAACGCAGAAACACCTTGACAACACCATACAGAGACTCTTAAAGACAAGTGAATCTTTTGCCTACGAAACTTATGTGAACGTAAGTGAATAATAATTTGTTACAATCCTAATAATTTATTTCATACACAAACTTTAGAGAAACTTAAGTAATCTGCGTCGCTAAAATTTTTTCATTTTAACTATTCTCTTTAGTGTGACTAATTTTCTTTATTCTTACTCTAATAAGTTTATAGTAATTGTTGAGAGATTTATTTATAAAATCCTAGTCTAACAATAAGTTTTAGAACCTTAATAACTAATAAATTGCTACTTTAGTCCATTACTAGCAATGGATGTCAGGTAAATTATCTTTAAAATACTGGCAGATCCCTTCTCCGAAGGCGAGATCGACTTGCTCGTCAGCATAAAACGTTTGCTAGAAGGTTCAGCTGATTTTGCAGCTTCCACAGGTATTTTGTCAGAGGTTTTCACTTCTGTGTCTAGCATTGGTATTTCCAGGTATTTGGTATTTCCAGGTTCGTTGCGCATATACCAAGCTGCGCCTGTGAGGTATCGTAGCGTTTTTGATTGAAATCGCTGTATTTTATGGATACTATTTGTGCAAGCAGAATCCCATAATTATATTCCTTACATCCATATTGGCTTTATAAAAGAATTATACAGGATTTTAGGATTCAAGCATAATCTCAAATTAGGCTGGCGGTTTTAAGTTTGAGGTGCTGTATTTTAGCAGAAATATGACTCTTCAGCTAAGCCGCCTAGATGCCAAGGTATTTAAATTCGCTTGCATGAGAGATCATTGCTTTGTTTAGTTTCAGTATTAGGCATGTTGCTGTCTTCAGAGTAATGTCAAATTCACATTGCTTACACTTTTGCTAGTTCACTTTTATGCGCCAGTTCGACAGCCCCTTCCAACGAGTTTTAAGTTTTAAGTTTTTTATTGGGCACTTGCTTCGACATAAAATAGCGGTATATTCTGCGAATGTTGAAGTCAGTACTTTTTCGCTCTTTGGGATGTCTGCAGTCAATGAGACATACAGTATTGGTCTCAAAACGCTGCCTTGAGGAACACTAGCCATGAGACAAATTCAATTACTTTAACTATAAACTTTCTGTTAGTTGGGTATGATATGTTGTGATGTAGACAAGCTTCTGGGTATGCTGTTACAGATGCGAGGCTAAACTCAATTCTCTTCGTCCACGTCGCGCACCCTAGAAACGTGAGCAACCCTTGTGCAAGATGCGGTAACCAACCCGTGTGGAGCCTTGGGTCACGGCTAATGTGAGAGGAAGCTTCTGTGGAGCCACTCCGGTATAAGGTTCTCCTGAAGTCTAATTGCATCGTTTGTTCCCCTGAGGTGCAACAAGCGGGCGTCGGTCTTGAAGCAAACGGCTGGCTGTACAAATGTGTTAAAAACTTTAATTCCGCCTATCGAGGTTGTGCGCTGGGGTTGGGGACCCGTCACGTAGAAACCAGCTCCAATCAAAAATTTTGCAATGCAACGGAGGAGATACCCCCTTTCTGTTGACGACCCCCGCAAACAAATTAAGGATCACAATTTGGGGGCATGCACCTGGAATGTCCGGTTCCTTAATTGGGAAGGTGCCGCTGCCCAGCTCGTTGATGTCCTCGTAAGAATAAAGGCTGATATCACCGCCGTCCAAGAAGTACGATGGACGGGACAAGAACGAAAGCGAGTAAGTTCTTGTGACACTTAATACAGCGGCCATATAAAGAAGCGCAAATTTGGTGTTGGGTTTGTGGTAGGAGAGAGACTCCGTCGTCGAGTACTGGCATCCAACTCGATGGATGAGCGTCTCGCCACAATCCGCATCAAAGTGAAATTTTTCAATATATCGTTAGCTTGCGCCTACGCCCCGACGGAAGAGAAGGACGATTTGGCCAAAGATACCTTTTATGATCGCCTCGAGCACACTTACAAGCGCTGCCCCCGACACGATGTGAAAATCATGCGTAGCGATTTTAATGCCAAGGTGGGCATAGAAGGTATCTTTGGTACGACTTCGGGTTGAGGTTGATCGACTTCGTCGGGGCCCGAAATATGGTTTACTAGATTCCAGCACAAAAAATACATCAAGCCACTTAGCTGTCCCTTGATCGGTAAACACAAAACCAGATCGGTAATGTTGTGATAGACGGAAGACATGTCTCCGGTGTTCTCGACGTGCGTACACTCCGAGGACCCAACATCGACTCGGACCACTATCTTGTTGAAGCGAAGATATGTATGCGCCTCTGTGTATCGAAGAACGCCCGTCAACAAACACAAGGAAAGTTCGACGTTGAAAAGCTGCAATCACAACAGACTGCCGAACGATTTTTTACTCGGCTTGCACTCCTGCTCTCTGCGAGCACTTATCAGCAACTCGGTATACGGGACCTGTTGGACGGCATCGCAAACTCCCTACGTACAGCTGCAAACGATTTTTTTGGATTTCGTAAAGGTCGTAAAAACAGCTGGTACGATGAGTTCTGCCATGTCGCAGCGGAGAGAAAAAAGACTGGCTGACTCGGAGCCTTGCGATCGACCACCAAAACACATGCAGGATGGGATAGATACCGAGAGATGAAGAAAGAAGCAAGACGCATCTGCAGACAAAAAAAGAAAGAGGCCGAGATGCGGGGTTGCGGGGAACTTGACTTGGCGGTGAAGAGCTGACAAGGTGCATGCATGAGCTACTTTACAGAATCTGGTCGGACGAAGGCATGTCCGACGATTGGAATTTAAGTGTGCTCTGCCAAATCTATATAAAAGTGGGCCTCATAGTCTGCGCCAATTACCGTGGGATTTGCCTCCTTAATATCCCTTATAAGGTCCTGTCGAGCGTATTGTGTGAAAGACTGAAGCTCACCGTCAACAAACTGAGTGAACCATCACCATGCGCCAAGTCTTGGAAAGCGAAGAGGATCGACACCCATCACCTCTTCGTCGATTTTAAAGCCACCTTCAACAGCACGAATAGGAGCTGCCTTTAGGCAACACGAGAAGCGCAGTCAGAATTGGGAAGGACCTCTCCGAGCCGTTCGGTACCAAACGAGGTTTCAAACAGGGTGACTCCTTGTCATCCTTGATTTCTTCAATTTGATGCAGGAGAGCATAATAAGAGCTGCAGAGCTGAATAGAGAAGGTACAATCTTCTATAAGAGTGTAGTTAGTGTAGTTGGCGTACGCCGATGATATTTACATTACCGGTAGTTCTGCTTTCGCCAAGCTTGATAGAGAAGCGAAGCGAATGGGTCTGGTAGTGAACGAGGACAAGGCAAAATATCTCTTATCATCAAACAAACAGTCATCGCGTTCCCACGTTGACAGACATAACTTTGAAGTAGTAGATATCTAGGAACCAGCATTAACACCAATAATAACGCCAATCTTGAAATCCATAGCGAATCACTCTTGCCAACAGGTACTACTTTGGACTGAGTAGGCAATGCCATCGTTCCCGTCCTGCTATATGGTGCGGACGCATGGGCGTTGACAACATCTGACGAGTCGGCGTTAGGCGTTTTTGAGAGAAAGGTTTTGCGAATACGCAGACGGTGGAACGTTGAGCTGTACGATTTATACGGCGACAGTGATATAGTTCAGCGAATCAAGAAGCAGCGGCTACGCTGGCTAGCTCATGTGGTCTGGATAGATGAGAATACTCCAGTTTTGAGAGTTTTCGATGTAGTACCCGCCTGTGTTGTTAAATCGGCTAAAATCGCCTACACGGTGTCTACGTCCGTAAAGTAAGTAAGTAAGTAAATTAAATAAGTCCTTCGTGCCATACTTTATCGAATGATTGAGCCACATCAAGACATATTTCTGAGCAATACTCTTTCAACTCAAATGCCTTCCGGATTCCATTGGTAATGGGATGGTTTTGGTTCATAGTACCATGATTTTCGGATGATTTCGAATTGATTATTTGGTAGAGTTTCGTATTCGTGGAGGCAAGCAGATAACTCGATGATAGATAGAAGCAACAAGTTTGAAACGAATGGGCTATAAGCTAATTGGCCGATATGATGAGTGCAACGTTGCGGCTCTTCCTGGTTTGGCTATCATGATAATATATAATTTTTCTCACGCATTCGGAAGATATCTTAGTTCAAATTAAAAAGTTGAGTTAAGAAATTGAAAGCAATATTTGTTAGCTCTATTAGCATTTGTGTTGTTATGTGCTCGTAACCAGAATATCCCAAAAACTTTTGAATCCAGATTCGGATTCAGCCCATCAAAAACCTTCGGAAAAATATAGTTCTGTTCTGGTTACAAAATTTGATCAAATTGTGTCGGCCTGTGCTATTCAAGGCTGCATTTGGTTGGAATACTTCGCTAAGGTGATTTGCAAAGCATTTTCCTCACGCCCCCAAGTATCGGTTCTCTGTCTGCGCGATCCCTCAATCTGTACTGGTGACTTAAAGTTCTTTTCCATCTTTCATAGTGAACTCTTTTGTGAAGAGTTCAGCGTCTTTTTGTCGTTTTGTACCTCAGAAACTTTCTGTGGATTTTGGTGTTGCTACAGAGGCCGCTGTTAAGAGCAAACAGTTGAATAAACTAATTATCTTCTATATCCATTTCGCATATTACTTAAGTTTCCAATTGCAATGTGGGTGCTGAGATATTTCTTGTACTTTTTTTAACATTTGTATTTATTTATAGAATCTGCTTTTTTATCAGAAGGCTCATAATATGTTATCAGATCCTTAAAACTAAATAAAAAATATAACAACCCATTAATTAGCACTAAGAATGGGCTGCTGGCTCAATGTCGCTCTTCACAAGGTTAGTAAGTGCCGAGGTAAAGGGGATAGCCAAAGAGTTCGGATGATGGTGTAGTTTTGCTTTGTACTTTTTTGTAGCGATTTCAATATCTTCCATTGTGCGTATGTTTAGATCTCTATGGATACTTTTACTGTGGTGCGCCTGTTAATAATCTAGATTTGTCGCACAAGCTGTACCCCATACTCCATACGTCCATATCGGTTTTATAGTCGCATTATAAGGACTTGTTGCTAAGGCTAAGGGCAGACTTCTTGTTTTAAAGCCAATATAAACTGGCAGATTTGGGTTTAAGCTGCAGCTTTTTAGAAGCAATGTGTCGTCTCTAGGTTAAGCGTCTGTCCAAGTGGATTCCAAGGTATGTAAGGTATGATTGCGGGATTGACACATTTTTGAGCTTAACAGTAGGGCACCGTGGCCTAAGTGTAAAAGTGATGTGTTTGCATTTGTTTTCATTAACATTTCGCTAGCCATTCTTCAATTAGTTTAAGGTGCCGCTGCAACACTTTTCTGAATTTAAGTGGGCATTTATGTCTGCTTATTATAGCAGTACCATCCGCAAATGCTGAAGTAATTACTTTGTCACTTGTAGAAATATCTGCGGAGAACAAAATATACAATATTGGTCCAAGGACACTACTCTGCCGTGATTGGATACTCTTCTTTTATGTAATCATTTACTTTTACAGTGAATTGCCTGTTGGTTATGTAGGATTCAAGGATATTGTGCAATGAGTTAGGTAATGATTTTTTAATTTTATAAATGAGACCTTCAAGTCACACTTTATCAAATGCGTGCGCCACATCAAGAAAAACGGCCGAGCAATACTCTCTCAATTTGAAAGCTTTTCTTATTTCATTTGTTATACGGTTTACTTGTTCAATAGTTCCGTGTTTTTCCGAAAACCTAATTGATGTGTAGGAATAAGATCATTTTGATGGAGAAAAGGAATAATATTTAATAGCAGCACTTTTTCGAAAAGTTTGGATAGGCGAGGCAAAAGATTGATTGGCCTATATGATGACGGTAGGGTTGCGTCTTTACTTGGTTTAGCTATCATAATTATCTGCGACTCTTTCCATATGGAGAGATGTGATCGTCTCCTGGAGCTTTTTTTTGGATTTAAGGCGGTTATAATGTTTTTTTGTTTCAGACAGGTGCTTTGCAAGTAACTAGTAGCAGTATGGTTCAGTGATATAGCTGCACTGTTTGTATATTTCTTGTATTATTTCTTCTTCGTATCTTTATGCCTTTTTAGCTTGTTTTCTACCATATTTATTCTGATTTTTGCATCGGGCGATCGGAAGGCTGGCCGTTTGCGACTAACAATTCTATTTCACTATTAATTATCCATGTTCTGGTTTTTGGTTTTGTTTCGTGCTCTGGTGTTGCTCTGGTTGCTACTGTTACTTCTGAACGTAGCAAGTCGAAAAACATGCTCATTTTCAGTTGGTTGTTCGGTCAATTTAATGATTATTGAGGAATGATCAGAAAATGAGTCAGCCCAGGTTTCAGCAAAAGCTTAACTCCTATCAACTGACTTACTGACTGCAAAGTCAATCAAGTCAGCTAATTTCCATGCGTCATAGGCCAGTAAGTTGGTTGCCTTGCTGAGATGAAATCGTATCTATATTTGGTGCTTATGATCGTTTTGTATAACTCCTGACCTTTTGGATTAATTAATTTTGAACCCCAATATGTATGTTTCACATTGTAGTCACTTCACAAGTTGACTGCAACCAGTTTTTTTGAGATAGAGTGAAGAAAACTGTGCTTTATGCGGTTCCATATGAGTATGGCTGTACCTCCATGTGCTTTGCCATCTGGGTGATTAGTATTATACAACTTAAGCCAAGGGATATAAAAGTTATACTTATCAGTGAGATGGGTTTCGGATAAAAGCATGACATCAATTTCGTGAATCTGTAAAAATAATTTGAGTGCTAAATTATGCTGGTTGATATGCTGGTTCTATCCCTTTATCATCAAAAATAAATTTGTTTTTTTTAAAAACTTTTTCAAACCCGATTGCGGCATTTCGAATGCCTAGCCAAGCTACCTGATACTAAAAAAAAAAAAAACGGAAAATAATGTACAGTTACTCACAAAATGAGTATACATAGGTTTTTGTAAGATAAATACACAAACTATGCAAAATTTAGTGGATATATTTGAAAATTTCTGATGCACCTTTGAAGCTTGAATTCTTACGCTTGATACGCTAGTACCTTATGTGCGATATTAAGAAGGTTAAATCCACCGTAATTGACGCAGACTGTGGGATTACCCTTTTTGTGGATTGGGTTCCAATCGTAGTGGATGCTTTCATCCGACCATATTTTGCAAAGAATCTGATGCAAGCACTTAATCAGTACTTCATCGCCGTATTTGAATAGCTCAGCCAGTTTTCCATCGCCATCGATTGGATTTTCGGGTTCACCAACTACGGGTGTTTTATATATATATAAGTATATATATATATTGAGCATCCGTTACTAGCTCACCCGTCTGGGTCCTACAAGAGTTTGCTCTAGTCCTGAAACCTTCCGTAAGTCGCCATATCTTTTCGTAGAATTTTCGAGTGTTACCCTTGTCGGCCAGCTTATCAAGCTCGCATCGCAAGTTTTTGTCTATTATTTACCTGGTCAGATATGATTTCTTTGCATATGGTTCAAGCAGCTCACGACTTACGGTTTTAGACTCTGGGTAGCCAACGAACACCCGATTGCAGGCGAGTTAAAGTGAAAAGGCGAATCCCATGTGGTTGTGCGCAGGGTTTGTGTCCCACCACATGAAAAACAAACTCCATTGAAACACAATATATGGCTCCGATGACAGAACCCTCTATTGACTCCGCAAATATTTTAAGGATTACGATTTGAGGGCATGCCCCTGTTTGGTGCAGGGTCGCCATTAATTTTTTAAGGGTAATTCGGTCGCGCTGAACCCAAAATGGACAATGATTTTGCTCAATCAGCTCTTGTTTTTGCGGTATTCGAAAAAAACTTTTTTTCCTACGTCCAACGCTTTTAATTTTAATTTTTTTCTTGTGTACTTGTTTTAAATCCATTTTTTATTTGCTATGGGTACAATTTAAACTAAAAAACGTAAAATTAAAACGTGCTTAATTAATTAAAAATTAGTAATATGTTGTATATGTTGTAACTAGCTACTTAGCTTGATGTGCAAAAGTAGGAGAATAATTTTTTCCTTGGAAATTAACGGCTAGTTGATTACATGGTTTTTTCTTATGACTTCTGTTTTTCTTATATGTACTCTCGCATCGCTCAGGTACCCCACTTTCGCACTGTCGCTTTTTAACTTGAGCAATGATATTCATAAAATATCACATAGCGTACAAAAAATACTTTTTTGCAAAACACGCACAAAATGGTGCTTCTCGAACCTGAAAATCAACGTTAAGGAGGGTGCATTTTCGACACGGCGCAGCGGCGGCCATTTTGAACAATAGTTGGGTATTTTTCCCTGGTTGTCTGTAGGCCAAAAATCCTTCCCCTCGGATAAAAAATCAAAAACACGCAGAAAAAAGTGACTTTAGAATGATGAAAACCAAATCACCGACAATTGTAGAAAAATGAACAAAGAAAACGTAGCTGTAACAGCAACAATAACCAAAACAACAAACTGAAGTTGATACGAGTACAGCGGTAGTTTTTGTATACAAATGGTGCTTCTCGAACTGACTGATTTTCATATTAATAATTTCCTTAATCATTACACTTCTTTTGCACCTACTCAATTTAACTGTTACTGTAACATACTCGTAATTCAGTGCTCACATAAAACAATTTGATTTTTTTTATGCAGAAATAGCTATTTAATTTACTACAAGCAAAACTATAATAATAATAATAGTTTTAATATTAAAATAAAATTTATTTTCACTTCAGAATCTCTTCGACGAACATGCTCAAACATTAATCAGCATATGGCTATCCAAATTGAGATACACAAGTGAATATTTCATGGATAATTTGGAAAAAGAACATATACTAGCTGCCTTATCACTTTTGGGAACAATAATCTTTATGTTTGCCGTGGGATATGCCATGGTTTACTTTGTACGAATTGAAGAAGAAAACTTAAAGGAAAAAGGCCAATTAGGTGGAAACAAAGGCTTTTGTGAGTATATTTTACGTTTGTTTGTTTAGCTTATTCACAAAGTAACGTACTTTTACTTTCATTTACAACACTTTTACCTATAACATACAACTTGTTTAGTTTAAACGCGTTGCAAGTCGCTTGAAGTTTGCCATAGAAGACTAGTGTCGAGTGTCACCTATAAAAAGATAAAAAGGGACGTTTTAGAAAATGAGTGTTTTAAACGAGTGTCACATACAAAAAATGATGACATCCTTTTCTGCGACAATCCAACCTCGATTAAAGTTATTTCTAACTGCTATATAATCAAATGAAATTGACTTTTATCTATCTGATCCCTCTTCATATTCTTTCAAAGAAAATCAAAAGGGTACATTCGATGCTATCCATACACATTCAGTCCTTGCATAGGAGAGAGACTCGCGCTGGCAAGAACAATAGAATAGCTTTAGCAAAGACTAGTGGAATTATGAGTATAAATTCTCTGCTTTAATATTTAGATAAATTGGAGGTAATTGCTGTGAAATGTCATAATTTATTTAAAGGAAAGGAATCTTTAGAAATACTAAAACTGATTCCGGGGCTCACTGCACAAAAAGGGGTAACTAGACCAGATCATCTTATTAAAAAGATTGAAACTTTTCTAATAGAACTTTTGAGTATTTTCCCCTTGGCCAGCTCCTCACACATTTGAAGCCGTACCTTTTCCCTTTGTAAATGTGCTAATACCTTTTCCCAATGCCAAAGAGTAAACAGCCTGAATGTCTCTTGTGGTACTCGAATAAGAAAGAGTTTTATCCACTTATTTTTATTAATTTCTTTTTATTAGGAACCGGTATTGATAAACAAAAAGGACAATAATGAATTCAAATCCATAGTTTCCAAGAAGGATTTACGTTAAGAATATGCATAATGGAGGAGCATACACTAAAATAAATATTAAATGCAAAGATAAAATACTGAAATTTTTGATACGGGTTGAATGTTTTTTTATTCACCTCATAAATTGTCACCATATGCTACCCAAATATTTATATAATTTGTTTTTTCTTTTCAGTAGTGAAACAAAATCGCAATAATCCTGAGCTGAAGTTGCATGAACTAAGAGCTGAAAAATATAATGGCATGGTTCGCCTCTTAAAACCAGGGTGTAGGACAATCATTTTAGTTACGGATTTGAAAACCCGAACAAAGCTAATTCCAGAATTTCACAAAGCCGTATGGCCTTATCGTAAATCCAAAACGTTACTATTTGGGCATATGCTGATTGAAAAAGGGCTGCTTTGGTATTCTGAATTACTAAGATTATCTTTATGTGAATCGAAGACATTAAGTATAAACCCAAGAAATTGTGTTGGTACTGTACTTGCTCTAAATGGCCACAGAAAATATTTTTGCATGTATCACGCCAAGCATCCTGAATCTATCCGAAACGGGAAGGTGAGTACTTCAATATTTTTTTTCAACTGTGTTATCCATTCCGCTCTTTCGAAAATAAACGTAAATAAGATGCGTTTCAAATAATATTTTTCATGAAATTTGATTTTTACATCATTCAAACGACTGATTCGCGAATTTTTGTAAATTTTGATCCAGTTGACATAATCTTCGTACAATTTTTAGCACATAACGGGCAATATATCAGTCATAACTTGACGAACGTTGTTTTTTAAAAGTCAAGAGTAAAATGTTTCTCGCATTAAAGCCATATTTACTCGTGTTGTGTGGTAGGTGGTACCATCTTGTCCAAGTCGTGTTCTTCAATTGCAGGCCAAAAAAATAGATTATGTACGCCCTGATAACCCCATGCATACTTATTTTTCCAAAATCGGTGTATCCAGTTTGCTGTATCATGCAGATTTGTTAAAGAAACCAATACTAGTTTCTTCCGATAGTAATTTGTATGACATAGAAAACCAACAAGAGTTTTCTTCTTACGTTGCTTCAACTGATGTGATTATGGCACTTAAATACCTACCCTATAAAGACAAAATTTAGAATATATCGTAAACGTATTATTGAAGTTTCTGGTAAGCCATTGTTAATTCTTGATTAGGCGTAAAATAGTTGCCTTGCTCTAATCTTCTTATATGCAGGTTTATCGATATATAAAGTACTCGTGTTCCCGGCGGCCGTGGTAGCCGAGCGGTTAGCATTGCGTACTGCGATTCGGAAGGCTCGGGTTCGAATCCTGGTGTCGTACTAACATCCAAAAAATTACAGAAAATTAGTTAAAACAAATAAAAATAAAGTAAGCTAATTTTTTTCATAGCGGTCGCCCCTCGGCAGCGAATGTCACCACCCCCTGCGGGTTAGGGGCTCAAGAATTTACCCGCGGTAAGGCATACCTGTCGTAAGAGGCGACTAAAATCCAATAGTTCTCGCGACAGTCGGGTCTTTATACCGGAACGACCCGGATTTTTATCCGGCCAAGGACTGTCACTCCCGCAACATTCCCCAAAAAGTACTTTGGGGAATAATTTTGCGGTTACAACAACAACAGCGAATGTCAACCCCTCCTAGTGTATTTCTGACATGGAATAAAGCTCCTCATAAAATGCCATCAACCGTTTGGAGGCGGCTTAGGAAAAACTGTAGGTCCCGCCATTTGTTGGAAAAATATCAAGACCCAAAACCACAAATTGAAGCCTTCTCTCTAGCCGGGAATCGCTTCAACGGTATATATATACGATATGTATATGAGTTGTGATCAGAAAATATGGATGGCGTGGTCCATCATGAATTCTTGCCACAAGATCGTTGAGTCGATAAGGAATACTACCTAGAAGTTATGTTTGCGCGAAGCAATTCTTTAGAAATGCACAAAATTGTGCAAAAAACAATCATGGATTTTTCACCATGATAACGCATCAGCTCACATATCGCTAGCATACCTCAACCACCGTATTCACTGGACTAGGTTCCCGCTGACCTTTTCCAAAACTGAGGATGCCGATGAAAGGAAAGCGTTTTGTTATGATACCAAAAAACGTGTTTCAGAAGTGTTTCGAGGATTGGAAAAAACGCTGGCATAAGTGTATTATATCTGAGGGGGATTACTTTGAAGGGGACAAGATAGTTATATATGAATAAATAATTATTTTTTGAAAAAATTTAAAATAACGATTTTTTTCTGTTCACACCTCGTATATTTTTATTACCGCCTGATTGCTTTCCTTTCATCGTGTGTTATCATTTGCCTCTCCATGGGAACCAAACCCCGTTTGTTTTCTGCAAACTTTGTTGCTAAAAGTTTTTATTCGTCTCGTATAGCTGAAAAATTATGTTTGTATTATTTCATCCACGTTTTGCTATCCTTAACTGGCGGGCCGTGAATATTGAGCTTCCGTTTGAATTACTCCCATAAGTTATTCGCAAATGATAGCCCTATGTGCAGTTTGGCAAACGTTTTTTTTTTTGCTAAATTTGGATGTGACAGCTTGAATTCAGCGATGAACTCCTTTTGTGTCGCGTTAAGTTTATAATAAATTACTTACATTTTCATTGCTTGCTTGCTTACTAACACAGCTTTGTAATCGGATGACAGTTCTTAACGTAATACTCGTCAACGTATGGCCTTCGCGAACGCATCATACCGAATAACGACAACTGATACACTACTACACTGGCTATTTTATTTCATATATTTACTCAGTGTGCAAATAATATTTCTTGTTTGGACTCTAGAATAGGAAGAAGATGACTTGGTCCTGCATCTGCGTAAAGACCCCCTCAGACTGAAGCTTCGGGAACTAAGCCAGTGAGCACATCGCAGAGGAAGGGATGCATCCGCAAGCCCTTCTGATCGCCACTCAATCGATTCAAATGCACCCTGTTCTTTGGCCTCATAACAGAAAATGGCTATATAATATATTTTTGCCGCTTTGTAACCGCTGATTTTCAGCCGAGCTCTTCCTTGAGTTTGTGGTGTGTGCCTCGATGTTTTCCTCAAAAATGGATTGACCTACAATTTATACTGAGCTGCTTCCGATCTGCTGATGGATTTTTATGGGGAGCCCCCCAATCCAAAGGGGTAGCTATTCCCTGCCAAGGGACATCGCAGTCAAAATTGTTATTTTTAAAAAACAAAGTTATTTATTGTTTAAATTAAGTTGAGATAATTTTCGATTTTAGTACGTGTGGTAATTGACCTTGCTGGTAAAGGACGATCTTAGCAGGTACTTTGCAGAGGTCGTGTGTTTACCATGATTAGGATTGTACCATTTCTTTCTACATAGCTCGTTGGCATCGCAAATTACGGGTTACATTATCAGGTATGTACGTTACGTTTGTTACGTAACAATACAACTTGACTGACGCCATGTCCCGTCGACCGTGCAGATTCGAATCTTAACACTGCTAAAAGATAAAGGAAAAGATTTCCGGTTAATGACAATCACATAAGCAAAAGAGTGGAAAGCAAGTCACCCATGGAAACATCATAGGGAAGAACCGGTCTTGAAACATCCAATACAAGGGCTATAGAAGAACAGATTGTCAAGAGAGCAGCAAAAGTCAGCAGAAAGCCCAAGTGCAGAGGCATACTGGGCTAAAGTAAAGTAAAGTTAGCAATGAACAAATTTATTAATATTTCGCTTGTAAAGAGGTGTGCATCCAATTCTGTCAAAGATTAACTGCTCGGTTAAATTCTGACACTGTTTCTGTAAGACCCAAAATGAATACTAATTCTGTTTTGAAAATGAAACCGTTGAGCAAATCAATTATCCGAATGTGAAGTCTGGTTCTTGCAACAATTTGATTATGTAGCACCCCTGATATTTTGGGACCATTCTGTCTGCACACTTCAGAAAGGCCTCTTAATTATCCTTCAGGTCTGGTAGCTGAGCAGGTATTTTACAAGAACCAAAGTCTGACTATACTTCCGATCGTTATTATTTTGGAACCAAAATGTCGAAGATAAGTCACTTTCCTCACTTTGCTTCAAACTCCAAATTCAAATATTCTCTGTTCATTGTCGATTCAATAAATTCAATCTGACAGGCACCACCAGCAGGGTTGCAGAGGTTGATCATAGTGGTCGTCAATATAAAAACAATAAATATATACTAACTGATTATTAGCCAATAACGTTCACTTTGTAACAAAAGAACGACAACACAATCTCTTGCAACTTCATCAGGTATCACAACTCTTATCATCCATCGTTTTACTCGCTTGTTCGAAGCGATACCAATGCCAGATATGACGGCCGAGGCGGTCGGTAATGCCTGGATAACAACTTTGGTGGCCCGATACGACTGTCCACAAATAACAACAGACCGACACCACGGCAGTTTGATTCACACTTGCTGAAGGAGCTGTTTGGTGTAGCTGAGACAAACTAGAGTGTTCATCGTCTCTATATTTATAACTGGAAATACACAGGGATACACACCTACTTCCCAGTCTCCGAACAGCATACCCGCTCGATTTAAAAACTTCGACAGCTGAACTTAACAGCATTAAAAGTACAAATTACTTGCCAAATAACGCTTTCGATCTCCCCACTACTCTCACATTTCCAACAAAGGGTTTATAAAGGAAAATAAACACTTACACATTTGCTTGAATTTGTGTCACATATCTCTAAAGCATGACCTTATTTACACTTCAGTAAAGCAATCTCTCGGGTTAAACACTCAAATCTCACACTTAAGCTACAACTTCTTGAGTTTCAACAAAGACTTTTCCAAAGGGGTTCCTAGTATCTCAGTAATGGAAAGCAACGTGTGATATTTAAGGATATACTTTATTTCAATTTATTGATATCTCTTCTGAAGTTCCTCAATGCAGTAAAACTAGATTAAAAAACTTTACTTCAAAAATTCAAAGATTTTTTTAGCATTTCATAGCAAATTAAAAACTTAAAACTTAAAAGATTTGAACTAATGTAGATTTAAATAACTATCCCTTTAGTATTTTACACGAAAAGCTAAACGGAACTTTAAAGAAAAATTATTTTCTAAATTGGACTGTCGTCTTTTGGTTTCCTAAACATTATGGCATGCCATTTAGTAATATCTTAAAAATTGTGCTCAAAGTGCATTTATACTTCCTTAATGCATGATTATTCTTTCTTTTCAGAGTTTGGTGAAAATGACGAAACAACTTCAAAGAAATACTACAGATCCGGAAATAGGCACATTCGTAGAAATCAATTCCGATGATTCAGACTGTGAACCGAAAATCCTTTTGGAAGAAAATCTTTTGGATGGATTAAGTAATTGGTTGGACAGATTATTCGAAGGAACAACGCAGAGATACAATATTAATTACTGGCCCGATTTTCCAACTAAATAAGAATTATAATACCATTGTTGCTTAAACATATACACATATGCGTGCACTTAAAAAGTGCTGGTATTAAGAATTTTATAAACTTCCGTTGGTGCTTTTAAGTTGGTACTTTTCTAATGTAAATTTTAACGGAAGTTAGACGGAAGCTCTTCGATTTCCATACTGAGACATGCTTCTATCCGACAATATCTCATATAAAAGCTGTGGCAAACATTCTTGCATACACATATTTTATAGCTCAGCCGTAGTTTCCTAAATTTGCGATTAATTTTCGAGCACATAAGCAAATCAATATGAATATATATCTATAATTTAGATTTAAACTTTAATCCAGAGTCTGACTACTTTTTAAGACATTCAAAGGCTTATTAGCAGTGTTAGAAAGTAGTTGGAATTTAACTAAATGTCTGCACAAAAACATAAATAAAACTAAGCGAAGGCGTTTCCATTCAGAATATGTTTACTGTTGGGTACTCTGCTACTCAGAGCCATTTTTTGTTTACAAACAACAGAAACTATAATCATCAAAAATGAGAAAAAAAAATATTTAGTTGGTTAGTTTTAATAAAAAAAATTACAATTTTTATTCAACAATATTTTTTATTTAACTATTTATTTTATTTTAAACTTACCTTGAACAACTTAAGTGAAAAAGAGTATGGTGTAATCAATAAACTAAAACACAAAAAACATTAAAATAGATTAAAAAAGGTTTACAATCATTTACCTATAATATGTAATATTATAAATTTATATAGACTCGCGAGAAAATCAATCAGTATTTAAAACTTCTATAGCAGTAGAGTTTGTGTAAATATTTTTCGTTGTTTAAAACCAAATTTATTCAAGACTTTCAAAAGCAGAACAACATTCAAGAGAGGAAATCGCGCCGACTATCTTAGTGAAATGATGCCTTTTTCAGCATTGCAATTTTATTTAAACGATTGTTTCATATCTCGAAAACTACAAAAATAATAATAAACAAGACTTTTGAGGTTATGGCTTCCCCCATATTAAAAAAATTAGAAGTGGTGCGAGATGACCATTTCTCCTTTTACTCTATGAATGTATTGGGTGAAGATGGTGTGAGGTGACCATTCCGTTACGAGACACATTTATTGACTCGTCGTTCTCTTCAAAAAGTGTTGGAGCGAGAATTATTGGCTCCTTTAATCCATTTCTTGGGCTGGCAAAGGATGCAATAATGAAATCTTTTGAATGTCTACTAAGCTCTTCGAGCTTAGCATCTAATAATCTCTTTTAGTTTATAATAATAAATAAATAATTAACCTGAAAGACGGCTTCCGATCATTTGTGCCAAGATATTTCATGAATGCATGAGGTCATATCCCGTCAGCTTGTTCTATAGATCGATTTTATCATCACTTTCTTGAGGCCGAAATGATAAATGTGATTTTCAGATTTGTAGGCATGTACGTCATTATCTCTTCGTTTAATTGTGCATTTTCGTCATTCTTGTCGGGCAAACAGAACCCAGCAAAGCTACAGCATTGATATCAATAGAAAACAATATTGACGTAAACAAACGCAGCCGTACAAGCTGAACACAAATGGGCGACAGCATTGATGCCGAAGTCAATCAGTTTTGAGAAAAATTTTCCCTACATATATGTATATGTACATGCGTGGGCAGTAACAATTTTTACCAAACTTTACTGGATCGAGTTCGAGGAGCCAAAAACCCAGTAAAAATAAGTAACGAGAGAGCGCAATTTTGACGTTTAGTTGGGGAGAAAGTTGCAAATTTGTGATGGAAAAATTTGATTCAATTAAAAGTAGCAAGTTTGTGATCATACGATAATAATAAAACAGAATAGATAGAAATAATAATATTAACACTTTAATATGAATGATATACAAAAAAGGTGTTTAATTTAACTAAGCAATATCAATGATACCAACAATAGTAAAGGCACTCATTAAAAGAAAATGAGGTGGTAGTGGAGTGGAATCATCAACACCCAGCTTCCGTTGAGAAATTCGAACTTAGGAAGTTATACAATTAGAATATATTATTATTTCTAGTGCAAAGGTTGATTTTGGAATTCTATAATTTATATAATAAATTCGAAGCAAAGTTTTTGCTATGGCCACAATTAAAATAGTGCATTCTTAAACTTCCGGAAGCGACGACGACGCACAAAATGAAATATTAGCAAAATAAAGAAGGAAAAATAAAGCTCTTGCTTGGTTTTTATTTAAACAATATCGCGGAAAAGAAGTTCAAACTTATTTTCGTATTTCAGTCGTCGTTACTGAAAGTCTAAGCGACAAATTGTTGCAAAGCAAGTTCTACATTAATCCTCCTTTTTAGAAGACTATTAAAAAAAACATATTGATATCTTTATAAAGAATATAGAATTTCAAAGCTTTTGAAATACAATTAATAACTTAAAAATGTCACATAATTGCCAATTTTATTAAAATACTTAGGAAAATACTTAAAACCAGAAATAATAAACTGTATAAATGAACATATTCAAAATTAACTGCCAAAATAAACAGCTGTTGTACAACTTGCTGGCTAATTTTGACTGGATCCTCTTCGTTGAAAACTCAGTAAGTTTCTTTCTTTCGGAGAATAAAATATTTACTCTCTCAATTTTCTCCACAAACACAGCTTACAATAGCGTTGATGATTCAACTCTTAGAAAACGATAAAATGGCGTTCTTTTTGAAATTAAGATCCTAAAATAAAACCCATAATCCGTTTAGCTGCATTCCCTTTCAATTTTTATATACTCAGAGAAACAACTTGCTTATGTGTTATTGCTGCCAAAAATAGTGTGAGCGTATTGGGGAACCCATCAGCCCGTTCTTGCAGGGTAATTTTTCACATGCAGTCAAACTTCTAAAGCTCGAAGTATCATTATCCAAAGAAAATGTCCAAGTTATGCAAACTTCAAGTTATCGAATGCATTACCATAAATTAAAGTTATTAGTGACTGAAACGCCACATTATTAATTCAAAAAGGAATGCAATTTTGATCAAAGCCTTGAAATCATCGTCTGTGGTGGTTTCGTTCGTTTTCAAACATAAATTCAGAAATATCTATATTATGTATCTTCCTCAAAAAAGTTTCCGCTTTTACGTTGAAATTGCTTATCCAGACTTAAAATCCGATCTCCAAAAAGTCTCGTAGTCTCAATGCCTTGGAATTTGCTCTATAACTGACGGGTAAGTTTTCCTGCACCATTAGTGCGCCCCGCCGCTTGCAGTTTTCGGCGCCATGATTAAATAACGTTTCTTCCGAAGCGCGTAAGCGGTTAGTGGTCGCTGGGAACCAAGTCGGCTTAAGGCCAGACACTCGCAGAGATAATGCTAAAGAGTTTCGTCATCCTTGTGCTAGTCGAGTAGAAAACCGTTCGGACGTCTGTGGTGATTGCAGTTTTTCCATGTCGAGTCTTCCTTGTCATTACAAGTAGCTTGGTGCATATTTTTCTTTTGCAATCTAGTGCTATAAACAACCATTTTCCGAACCCCGTACATCTTGCGAATCGATTTCGCATAAAATTGCCATTAAGCGCGTGATACCATGTGCTGAACTTCACTGTTCCGTTTTGGTTTTAGAACACTATACCGTTACGACATGACATGTGTCAGAAATTGAAATCGCCATATTTTTGACGCTTTAAATCAGTCGGCTGCAGGCCGCCAAATTGGAGAGTTAGTAGCGAAAAATTTAGTTAGCTTACACAAACACAGAAGAGAAACTAATAACTTCTATGAAGTGATACGGATATTACAGCAGAATTAGTTCACTTTTTGTTGTTGTTATATCTAATAAAAATATACAAAAAGTCGGATTGCTCGCATTAAATTATTTGCAATTTAGTTCCTTGTATTTGCTGCATCGGTTTATTTTCATGGCATAGGAATATATTCCATTATATCTCTGAAATACCCATTCATCAACTTGGCTGCTAATATTAACTCAACAGCTATGGACGTTGGCTTGGTTAGGGATTTCTATCGTTACACCTGTTGTAGGACAGTTTTTACGCTCATATACATGAATGAAATCGAGTGAATTTCATGTGATCTCAAATCAATTCGGAAGAACTGCAATTTTGGTACGGTACGTATATATATATATTATATATATAAATGGTATGGTTGTACATATTTATAAAAATCTTATGTTTGTAAAGATCCGGTAATCTCCAAAAGTTACCGAGCGATGGACTTGAATTACGTAAGATTGCTTATATGGTTCTTTGATTAAATTTTTGGCTGATATACCTAAATGGAATCCTTTTGTTTCTTAGAAATGAACCCAGACCTACAACCTAGTTCTACCTTGCGAAATATAATTAATACTGACTGAATTAATATGTTTTGGATATAAGCATATATCATACATAGATATTTTCGCTTAGCATTTTCATTATTTTCTGGCTGGTGTATCACTCTGGCTTTCCTCGAGGCACTTTTATTGACATTTTCCTACTATGAGCAGCCTTAAAATGGCACACACATACAAGTAAAGATTCGCAGATAAACACTCCCGTCATCTCACGATCAAAATCAGCGGAATAAATCAACGCTTGCCAAAAATACTCAACGTTGTGCGTATCAACCTGAAAAATGATCTATCGGCCGATATATTTTCACGTTAGTAACTTCGGGCTACATTACCGGAAAACTTCTGTAATTTAGTGACATCGAAAGAAGAATTGAATCACGGATAACTCCAACATATCCAAACAATTATAGCGATCATTGGTGATTGAGTGAGCAATATATCCGTTATGCAAAAAGAAAGGGTATTTATGATCTCAACCGCACTATTTAGTCCAACATTGAAAGCGAATGCGTCGCATATATTGTGGAAGTAGATGAGGTGTTGTTAACTCGGCTACAATCGCGTAAGCGGTGTCTACGCCAGTAAAGTAAGTAAGTAAGTAAGTATGAAAAGCGACACACATATTGGTAAATCTTTCTACTTTAATAGGGTTGTTTCTTCCTCTGCTAACATGCCCTATAATTCTCCATCACACATCTTGCTTTGAGATGAACCCCGTTGAAAAATGCTTCATTGGATTGATCTCACCATGATTTAAGAGAATAGTCAGTGTCCACTGTTGGAATAAAAAAATTGTATCACAATATTGTTCATTATAATGACGTGTGTAAATATCTAAGAGCTTATTGATTCCTTTTCTATTCATCTTAATTTGGTTCGGTAAAATATTTCCCTGGCCCGAAGGTTTAGAGCTGCCAATTAATCGTCAGTGTTTTATATATGTGTGACTGCAAATCTTTGTAATATTCTGTTAATATAAACTTTTGTCTTTATTAAAAGGCATCTTTATTGCATTCAAGCCCTTCAACCCCTTCCCGTTGAATTATGTATTTGCACTTGGTATCAACATTTATTAACTAAGCATGCACTTTTTTAATTTAAATAGCTCTTGCTGGTGTTGTTCCTGCAGCTATTCCAACCTTGCTTAGAGGCAGGTTAGTTGGTCTAAGTCACCGAGGATATCTAACGGGAGGTCTAAGAAACGAGCTGTTTCGACGGGTTCTGACCAGAAACTGAGT